GTCCTTCAGGATCAGGACTGTCCGGCCTTCAGTTAACCACTCAGGGTGGGTTCCATCCATTAGTAGCTGGTTCATTTGTCCCACCAGGTGCTCATGGAGTGAAGTTAGCTTCTTTAACCAGTAGGTGTGGATCATGTCAGGGCCTGGTGCTGTCCAGCTTTTCATACTTGATGTCTGCCATTGTGATGATTACTGGGTATTGTGCAGGGAGGTTGCTGTGGTCTGCTCTTAGGTCCACCAGCCACTGGGCACTGTTCAGTCTCCAGCCTTGGTGGGTCTGCTCTCATGTTATTCCCCTGCCACTGAGAATACACCTTGGATGGCTCAGTGGAGAACATTCGATTTATTCTCCTGGATTCAACTTCTCTGGTGTATCTCTTCAGCCGGGTGGCCAGAGCTGTGAGCCTTTGCTTGGCAGTCTCCAAGGCCTCAGGTATGGACAGTGAGTTGTACTTCTTAGGTACCCCTTTGTTCATCACGCCTTTCTGCAATTTCGATAGCTGGCTAACTTCTCTCCTTGCTGCCTTGGTCTTGGTCTCCAACCTCCTTCTCTATAGAGGATACTGCTCCTTATGGCCTTTGTTGAACTTATAGCCAAGCATCTCAAGGATCATGGTTGCTGTGGTGTATATCAGCTTGTTGGTAGTAGGGATTGTTTTTAGTGCTGCGTTCACATCCTCTAGTAGACTTTCAGAAGGCACTTCACTTAGTCTTGGTAACCAACTACGGGAGTTCCAGGTGTCCATCTTGCTCTTCAATCTCAGGTCAGCTACTCTTGAATCAAGCTCATCCAGGCCTGTTATTGGGGCTTGGTACCCAGTCTCCAGTTGTGGGGGTGATGATGATGATGATGATGATGATATCTCCCCCCTGACCTGTCGTCCTGGCTCCCCCTTGCTGGAGCATTCGTGTTGTACCTTGTCAATCTCTAGTTGTGATAGCAGGTGCTTCTTGCGGATGTTAGAGCACTGAGCTACTAGTTGTTTCGTTGTTAGTGTAGATGTTGGGTTTTGAAGTATCCATAGGTCCCACATCCTCCGAGAAGATTCCAGGTTTGAGCCCCGGCCAACTCGGAGCCTTTCTGTGCGGAGTTTGCATGTTCTCCTTGTGCTTGCGTGGGTTCTCGCCAGGTGCTCCGGCTTCCTCCCATAGTCAAAAGACATGCGGCATAGGTTGATTGGTGTGTGTGTGTGTGTTGGCCCTGCGATGGACTGGCGACCCGCTGCCTCTCGCCCGCAGCTGGCTGGGATTGGCTCCAGCCCCCTGAGACCCCATTTGGGACTAAGCGGTGTAGAAAATGGATGGATGTATATACTCTGCTCCATTTAATTTGATTGATACAAATGTACATAAAATTACATCCAGAGTGCAGGGCAATAATGGTGGAGGGCTCCATCTTCAGTTTCAACCAGTGGGCTGTCAGTACAGAAAGAAATGCTGCAGTATGAAGTCACCAGTGATGACAGTGTTCATTTCTTGACAAATGCTTTATTTAAGTTTAGCCCCTCTTTGTCTCCATAAACACACAAGTCCTCGTGTAGCAAAGTAACTTTCAGCAGCTGTTGTTTTCGGTCTTGGTAAAGCTGCACACTCCCATTCATGTTGTTTTGTTTGGATTATTTCTGTTTGTGTGTCCTTCTGTGACTTATAGTGACAGACTGAAATCTGGTTTGCATTTTAATGATGGTTAAATTTTATTATCTTTTAAAAAACTAAAGCTCATTATGAAACCTAAAGCAGTCTCTTTACAGTAGAGCATAAGCAGGAGCAGAAGGGCTACCCAGGTCCACGTGGTCCAGCTCAGGTCCAGACTCAGCAGCGCTCTCAGCTGTCGCGCTTGACAATGGTGGGAGGAGGGACATGTTTCTGGCAGGCTTTTACTGGAGTAGGAACACAAAGCTGCCAAGCTCTCTCTGTGGGACGAGGCCCAACTGCTCAGTCCTGCTACTTGGCTTCACTCACACAGACCTCCGGGCCCGCAGAGTCCGGCTGTGTCCACGAGGACACGTAGATATACACATGGGCATTACAGGCATGCAGGCTTGCCCTGATATATAAACAGTATCTGAGTGAGGGTAAGAGAAAATGATGTGAAAGGCATTAATTAACTTCATTTTAGATTCCCATGAGGTCAAAGACCAGTTTTACAAGGGTGCCCTGGCAAGGTGGCAGAAATAAAAGGTAAAGAAAGGGACAAGTGTGCAAACAGCAAACGTACCAAATGCACACATCATAGTAACAAAAGCATGACTGTGGCTAACAATCATTCCAATTATCAGTTAAATCTGCCAATTATGTTTACGTTTTTTGTTGTTGTTGTTTTTTTGGAAAAACCTTGTGACAGGGCATGTTTTTACTGTTTTCCCATCACTAGAGAGCATTGCCGTCTATCACAGTGTTTATTTTGGAGCAGATCTGGATCCAGATGCAGATTCAACATTGCTGAACATTTTAGGGAATAAATACTTTCACTACTTTATTATAAAAAAATCCCTACAATATCCAAAACCTAGTTAATGTATGAAATATTTAGTTTGAAGCAGATCCAGATCAAAATGGAGATTTTTCTAAACAATTCTACTGCTACAGTTTCTCTGACTGCTTCACAGTTTGGATCCTGCAAAGGGACAGACGGTATAAAGACACATAAAGAGAGCGTATACAGGATGAAAGACACTCTGTAATGTGCTGTATAGATTAATGCACACATCATGTCTTTAATGTGTCATACGCTTTCTTGTTTCCAGATTCCAAGGTGAGCTGACGTCCTGCTGTGTGCATCTGTACAGCTGTGAAGAGCTTGCTGTTGTGAGGAAACTCCTGCGTGGGAAACGAAAAATGTCTGCTGCCAACATCAGCCCGCTGATCTTTGCGCTGCTCCTCCTCTTACCCTTGGTAAGCTGGTTTACATTTTATCCCTCTATTTTTGTACATTTAAAATGTCAGGTCAACCTCCAGTTTCTGTGTATGAGTGAGCGCTGCAGTGTATGTGCAAACAGCTTCAGTCACAGGTGAAAATTCAGATGAATAAATTTTTATCTTGTCATTCACATACAGTAATGACCACGTGGAGTGTCTTCACCAGTAAATCATGTTTGGTTTGCTTTTGATGGTGTTTGGTTCTAGAAGAAGACAGGTTTGTGTCTGGCTACAACCAACCAACCCCGCTGACTTTCATCACCTCAGTGTAAACAGGCCAAATGCAGCTCTGCAGGGGTGGACGACGACAACAGGGGTTATTAATGCTTGTTTAATCTGATGCCGATATTCTTATTAGCCATAAGAAATGTCATCATGCCACCTCACTCATGCTTTGTTCTCTCTCAGCTGCCTCTCACAATCCACTCTCATCTGTATATGAATAAAGGTGTTCTCATCATTTATTCAGTGTTTACGCAACATCACTGTGATGAATCTGTGAGGCAGGTCTGTGTTAAAGAATCCCTGCTCCCACCTCCATGAAGAGCTGCAAAAGAGATACTTTATTACTGTAGTTAAACGTGAGTCACCGCCCTTGAGCTGAAGCGACACTGGAGAAACTGACACGAGGTTTATTTGAGCAGAATTGAAAGTGGTGGACAACAGCAGCAGGGAGGAAAGAGAGGGAGGCAGAAGATAAAGATAATATTGACCAGAGGATACATGAACACAGTTTTGTTTGTCTTAACCTTTTGTCACTATTGCTGACTATAATAAATACAAATAAAGAGTTAAGATGCAGTGAATTCAGAAGCAGCAGCAGCTTCACTGTGGCTGATCTGAGTGTAAAATCCAGACAAAAAGGTTAAAAGTCAAACATTTTGACTTAAGGTTTGTTCAGTTTTTAAATTAAATGATGAATCATGAGTGTATGTTAACAGCCTGATGCAGTGTTAGTACATTAAAACTATGTTTTTGACAAACTGGGTGCACCTAAAGAATGTAAGTCAAACATATCTGACTCTTAGCTGATCAATGTGTCACTCGACTGACTGTAGCCGACTGTTTGATGTTGGACAAGCAGTGGGCGTAAGACTGGCCAAAAACAGTGACACTGGCCGAGAAACCAAAACAATGAGGGGAACTGCAGTTGGGTCACTTTTTTGTATATTGCACACAACTTAGTTAATCCATTGAAATAAACATACTAGTGCAGCTTTAACAATGATGCCAGTAATTCATCCATCGTAATTAAGGTAAAAACAGATCTTGTAAATCCGATATGTCTAATATTTCTTAACCATGGACTAACATCCACATTCTTCTCACAGTGGTCTGAAGCCTGTCATTGACTGCCTGCTCTTATAGTATTCACTTCAGCCGTACCACTGCAGAAACAGTGCTGGTGTTGTGGTGTTGGTGGAGAGTGCAACACATAAATCATCCAGCAGATGCAGAGTGTGTGCCAACACTTGTTCCACACAGTTACTTCAGCGTATGAGCCCTGAGTGAAGGCTGTTGACGTCAGCGCAACACTGATCCCCTGCTACACGTCCTAAACTGTGACGTGGTGTCTCCCAGACTGACGCCAGCACAGCCACACAGGACTTCTTACCAGACACCTACCTCCATCACCACCCCCCACTCCTGAGTCCCAGCTGTCAGGGGGCTGTGAAGAGGCATCTCTGAACGTCAGCTTCGTGCCTGGAGTTGCACCTTCGGGATTCTGGCTGTCACTGTGATCTCTGGTCTCAATTGTGTTGAAGTTACAGCAGGGCTCAAGTATAAACAGTCGTCACTGTGCGTCTCTTCCTAACAGATGAGAGTAAAGCCTGGCATGGTCCTCTGTGAACAGTGCATGTCTGAAAGAATTCCTAGTGTGTTTTCTTTAGACTAATGCCCATCCTCTGGGTCAATTAGTGCCAGCAGCTCTGAAATGGTTTGTTTAACTGGCTGAGTGTTTGAACAGATCCCAGACCTGAGGCCTCATCCATGTTGTGGAGTCTTTAAGCTGAAGCTAAAGAAGCATCCTCAGCCATTTTCCCTTTGGCTCCATCCTCTGCGCTGATCATATCTTCTTCCACTTGACTGTGTCGTTGTCTCTCTGTGGCATGTGTGGACTCCAGGTTTCGAGGCAGCAGGTCCCCTCCAACTGTGTGATCAAGATGGAGGAGGAGAAATGCATGGAAATGATGGCCTTGGACGACCCAGAATTTGGTGAGTCTGTGTGTGTGTTGGCCTTTTACATCTTTCCCTCATGTACTCACAGTTTTGCTGGCATGTTAACAGTTTGTAACACAAGATTATTGAAATATAACATAATAAACCTGGAGATCAATAACAAGGACATGTTCAGGACCAACAGAGAATGCAAAGCTAATTGTTATTGATGTTTCACATTGTGCCTCTATCTTTCCAGACAAAAGAAGGGGCAGCAGCTTTAATTGGCAGCTGCTCATAATGAAAATGACAGTTGATTGCTGAGACAGCAAGTGACAGGCGTCTCCCTGGCTGATTAGATGATAGATGAAGGGAGGTTCAGACTTAGAGTGAGTTCTCCTTGACCTTGTGGTCTGAAGTGACCCTCCAATCACAGAGCTCTGGTGCTGAGGATGCCGCATTACCAGAAAATGATGTGACATCCACTTTATACATGTAGAATGTATTAAAGCAGGGAGAAGGATCAAAAGCCATCGTCTTCTTTCTCTGGTGCTGTTAAACAACACACTGCATGTTTAGATCTTATAAGGATCTGCTGCGCTGACCTCTGGTGGTGGACAACACACACTACCAGTTTTGCTCTTGAGCGACTTTGTCATGTGGTCTACCACCTGTCACAGTGAGCTGGTAACTTCAGCTGCCTTTTTTCCAATCGGGTTCAGTCCTTAACTACATTACCCAGGATGCTACTACGTGACATTCAAGAAATTATTAGTTTCATGATGCATGTTTGGTAGTGGGTCTTTGTTAGAAACAAGTTCTTTTGAAGGAGTTTGGGGACTTTGTATACAGATCAGTGTTACATGTGGCCAAAGAAGAGGGATTATAGCTAGCAGCAGCCTAAACTTTGAGTTAGGTTTACTGCAATAAACAGTGACGTGCGGTGAGGTTGACAGCTGGTGAGGCACTGACTCTTTTACAGTCAGATTTACAAATACAAATGAACCGTTAACAAAGTGTCTGTTAACAGACAATGCGTTATGTTTTATATCTCATATCAGCATTCTTCACACAAACGTGACCCATATTTAATTTGAGGTTAAAATTTATTCCAATTGAGCTTATTTCTAACTAGAAATAATAAAAGTTTATGGTCTTACCTTTACTTGTACACGAAATCCATTTGTCAGCTGGTATGTATTACAAACCCTTTTACCGTTCGAATCCAATATTAAAACAAATGTTCTCAATAAAGAAGATCCTTCTGGACAAAAATGTTCAGACTGTCAAAAATGTTTTGATTGAAAGTCCAGATTTGCGAATTTTCTCAGCTTGGAAATGTAATCTTCCATTTTGATAAGGCGGATTGTAAAGGAAATATAAACAAGTACGAAGAAGATTGTAGGTAGCGCAAGAATCTGTGGGCTCACTAGCGCCCCCTGCCTTGAGGCAGGCGTACTGTTTGCCTCACCGAGTACCTTTTTTACTGGGTTTTATGGTTAAGAAATACCTGATGCTTCTTTGACAGTAGTTTATATTTCTATGCTTCTATGTCGCTGCACAGGCGACAGCCATGGCTGGGAAAAATAACTCTACATGGTGTCAACCTGTACACTTGACTGTACAATTCAATTCATTTGTATAGCGACAAATCACAATAAGTCATCTCAGCACACTACATAGTAAGGTCTTATTATTTATTATCATCAGTATAGAGAAAACCCCAACAAATCCCCCTTGAGCAAGCACTTGGCGACAGTGGAGGGGAAAGACTCCCTTTAGCGGAAGTAAAGGAAGAAACCTCAAGACTCAAGGTGAGCGGCCTTCTGCCTCGAGCGGTTAGGGTGAGTGGATAGTTTTCATAGTCATCACTCCTGTCATTCTTGTCATGAAAAATAAGTTAAATACACTCAGTGTCAGAGATTATTTAGTCATCTGAGTTGTCTGCTTCTGTCAGGCTTGCTCCCTCCCAAGAACCCCAAAACACACACCGTCGGTATCGCACCTACCACGCACTAGAACTCTGACAACAACACCATCTATATATGAAACTGCTAAACGTATCCCTACATCAGCGATAATACTTTACAGGGGTAGGATATATTCCCCTGCTGGGAGGCCTCCCATGTCCCCAAAATCTAACAAGCTTATGAAACGCAAAACTTTCCCTCCCCGGCCTAGCAGAAGCGCGAGTCTCCCCTTGGAACTTGGCAGAGTGAGACAACTCAGAAATTTAACCCTAAAGTAAAATCGTTATTCAAATCCGGGCAGTGATGATTTAGAAAACAGCACAGCTACACTTAACAAGATGTCACAGCACAACTTCATGTGTATGGAGAATTGTTCAGTCTAACCACTAAGCCTGCCCCGGTACTTCCACCATTTAATGATGGAAAAATGACATAGCTTTGTACAACTCTGTGGTAAAGTTCCAAAATTCAAACAAAGTCTTCAGATAGAGTCAAGGAACACAGACAACTTAAAACACACACACACACACACACACACACACACACACACACACACACGCACTAAACAACACTACTCCAGAGGAAAGGTTACAGTTCAGTAGCTGCAGTCATCTCATTCAGGGTGGAGGTGAACGCAAGTAAAGCTGACAGTTTCAGCTGAAACACTCCCTTCAAGATCTCAAGTCAGTCTCAACTCTCAGGACCAAAGAGGTTGGTGTGGACAGACAATGAGGTTGGTGTGGACAGTGGTAGCAGCCACCTCGTGGTCCCGTTTACGTCATCAGGTTGTTTGATGCTGAAGCTGGAGAAAAGTCAAAGAAAAATAAGTCACTCAATTTTAAGTACAAAGACAAAGATTTAATGACGCGGACTGAGGTGGATACCCAACGTCTCTGAAGAGATCAACAACTTGTGGCGCAGAGGTGCCATTGTCGATAAGGGTCTGGTACAGCAGGGTCTTCGTCTTCACAGCTGAACATGACAACTTCTGGGTCCCTGTGTCCCATGTCAGCTTCTCTGGCGGGACAGGAGACAGCTTGGTAAACTGCAACTTCTCAAATCAGGAAGTACAATGTACTTTTCTCTAACATATCAAAGATTATAGCCTGTCTACACACACACTGTCCCTCACAGTGGCTTCACTTTCCCTGACTGGTGCTTTCAGATGCTCAACTAGGGTGCTGTAGAACAGTGCAGTCAATTTAGAAAGAGATCTAATCACCATAAGCATGGTCCTGAAACTAGGTATGATCACTGAGAACAAGAAATGTAGGTTTGTTAGTCTAAAAATGTAAAACTCAAATACAGATGAGCGGAAGTGAGAGGTGTGCTGCTTCTTGTCCCTCCAATATTCCCAGTCTAAGGGCACAACGCATTAACTGAGTTTTATATGCCTTTATCACTGGTGAGGTTCTTCAGGTTCCCAGGTTTCAGTCCAGATTCGCACATGATGAACTCCAGAGGAAAGGTTCATTCAGCTGGTACCACCATCTCATCCAAGGTGATGCTGGTGTTAAGTGCATCGGTTTTCCGGGAGGAAACTGATGCGGATCACCAGGGCTTACTTTACCACTCTTGTGTCCGCTGGTTAAGTTTAAAAAATTAATGTGGGGGCAATGTTGTAGGTTTATTTTAAATAAAATCAGCCTATATTAATTGTGTGGATGCTGAGTCAGCAGATGACAGTTGAAAAATCAACTGGACTAGATTTTTAGGTCGAAGACATTTCACCTGTCATCCAAGAGGCTTCATCAGTTGTGACTGTCTGGTGTTGAGCCGGAGATATTTATCCCCCTCGGTGGTGTTTCAGTCCTTTGAAGGCCAACAATGTCCCTTAACAACTGAGTCGTTGCAGCCCAGTATCGGTCAGAGTCGTTACCTGTCTTTGAATCCTCCCCTGTCGACCGACGCCTATTGTCCTGGTGGGCATGTTTGGGCAGAGATCTCAAAACAGGATTGTAGATGGAAGACAAGTTGTGTCTTAGTCCACCACCCCTATTTAATGAGGGGTGTTCTATTTTTACAAAAATATCTTTCTTAACTCCTCTCTCAAACCAGCGATGTTCTCTGAACAGGATCTGGACTTCACTGTCCTCAAAAGAATGTCCTTTGTCCTTCAGGTGGAGGTGGACTGCTGACTCTGGCCCACTGAAGTTGGCCCTCCTGTGTTGGGCCATGCGTTTGTGAAGCGGCTGCTTAGTTTCACCAATGTACAAGTCGTTACACTCCTGACTACACTTAATTGCATACACCACATCACTCTGTTTATGTCTGGGTGTTTTGTCCTTTGGGTGGACCAGTCTCTGCCGCAGGGTGTTCCCTGGTTTAAAGTTAACTGGGATATTGTGGTTGCGAAATATCCCAGTTAACTTCTCTGATAAACCAGCCATATAAGGGATGACAGTGTTATCCCCTCTTGTTTCTGGTTTCTCCCTCTTGGTGTTGGGCCTCTTCCTTGTTTTGGTGAAGGCCCACTTAGGGTATCCACAAGCCTTAAGGGAGTTCTGGATGTGTAGTTCCTCATTCTTGGCCCCTTCTGCAGTTGTGGGAACTTCCTCTGCCCTGTTATTTAGAGTTCTGATGACTCCCAGTTTGTCTTGAAGTGGATGGTGTGAGTTAAAAAGCAGTTATTGGTCCGTGTGTGTAGGTTTCCGATATACTTTTACCTTCAAGCTTCTGTCCCCTCCCAAGTGGACTGCCCAATCCAGAAAGGCAAGACAGTCATCTCTGGCATCCTCACGAGTGAATTTGATGTTGTCATCCACAGAGTTGATATGCTTGGTGAAAGCCTCTACCTCCTGGGTCCTGATTTTAACCCATGTGTCATCCACGTCGCGGAACCAGTGGCTGAGAGCGGTACCAGTGAAGGAAGACAGGGCTTTCTCCTCAATTTCTTCCATGTACAGGTTGGCAACTATAGGAGACACCAGGGAAGCCCATCGCACAGCCGTGTTGCTGCCTATAGAAGTGCCCCCTAAACTGGAAGTAGGTAGACAGGCAGTATATCTCCGGCTCAACACCAGTCAGTCAAAACTGATGAGGCCTCTTGAATGAGAGGTGAAACATCTTTGACCTAGAAATCTAGTCCAGTTGATTTTTTCTAAGTTTTTTCAGCTTACTATGACCTGGATGACTGAGAATCTGCACAGACAAACAGATGACAGTGTTTTTTGTGCCAGCAATAAGTAGTGGACGGTTTATTTCTTAAAAAATGTTGTTGGTTAAAGAGTAACCAGAATAGCTTTGAGATATTTAAGTTACTGTACGAGATTTCAGGGATCTGTGATTTTGAAATAGTGTAACGAGAGATGAGCTGCAGGTGGGCCTTTATTTCCACACAGTGTGTCTTCTTAGAGTGAAACACTGTGCTCGTCTACCTGTGTCCTCAGGCTGCCCGTGGATGTGGGACAACCTGACATGCTGGCAGCCGGCCAGGATCGGTGAGGTGGTCTCGGTCAACTGTCCCGAGCTCTTCTCACAGTTCATGAGTGAAGAGGACTACGGTCAGTTCAGGATTCTCTGTCCTCAAAAACACTTACCAGTTTAGAGTATAGTAACTTAGATATAAGGGCCAAGGGAATGCAGTAGTGTGTCAGTGAGGGTGTGTGTGTGTGTGTGTGTATCCGCAGAGCTGGGCAAGGTGAGTCGAAACTGCACCGAGCTCGGCTGGTCAGACATGTTCCCTCACTACATTGATGCCTGCCTGTATGAAGAGGGAAACAACAGCCAGGACATGTATTATGTGTCAGTGAAGGCTCTGTACACCGTGGGCTACAGCACCTCTCTGGTCTCACTCACCACAGCCATGGTCATCCTGTGCAGGTTCAGGTGAGGAGGGAGGGCGCTGGAGGAAACAGTGCTGGTTTCTGGGGTGTTAGTGTTTTTTCCCTTTCACGGGAGAAACTTCATCAGAGGCACCAGCTCATTTTAAAGAATGTCCTGACAAGTCAGTGCATATTCCCAACTACTGGTGCGATACTGGATACAGTAATACACATAGAAATACACAGAGTAAATTCAAATAAGAATATTGTGACAAACAGTAAACAAAAACAATGACAACATCTTTCCATTTATCATTTTAAACATTAACAGAAACATAACTAAATAGTTTTGTGATTTTTTTTTAGCTTCATTAAATGAAGAGTGATATTGCTTGTTGCTTGTTCTTTTGCATTAGTTTTTTCTACACACTGATTTATTCTGACTTCTTAAGAACTGTGTATTTTAGATGCATCCAGATGCACTGGTAGGACTTCAATCTAATATCATACAGCAGCTTTTACTGTTGGTAACACTATACTACTGGTACTACAACTTCAACTGGTACTATAACTGCTGCTTGCTACTGCTACCGCTACTAATACTTCTGCTGCTGTGGACTACTACGAGTGTTTGTACTACTGATACAGTACTACTTCTATACAAATGTTACCATTATTACTTTTATTACTACCACTGCTATTACAGCAAAAATACTACTGCCACTACTACAAATATTATCTGTTCTCCTACTATATGTCTGCTAGGGCTGCTGCTACCACTAATACACACCCTAATGGTACTGTTACTACTTGGCCTACTAGTATTATTACTTTGGTTACTGCTATTTCTACTTCTACTACTAGTTCAAGACAACGAGAGATAGTAGTATTAGCGACACCAGTGCTGCTGCTACTATTATTAAACCTACCACAATTACTATCAGTTCTACTACTATGTACTGCTGCTAGTAGTACTGCTGTGCTGTGACTGCTGCTGACACCACTAGTGGATGTAATAGTATCTATACAGGTAGCACTGTCTTGGTAGTAGCAGAAGCAGTATTGTCATTACCACATTGTGTACAGTAATGAACGACGTTGTGACGTCCATGCCTGTTTCCGCACAGGAAGCTGCAGTGCACCAGGAACTTCATCCACATGAACCTTTTTGTGTCGTTCATCCTGAGAGCTATTTCCGTCTTCATCAAAGATGGCGTACTATATGCCGAAGAGGACAGCGAACACTGCTTCATACACACTGTGAGTGATACAAACATGCCTGCACAGGTTACCAAACAGTCCTTCATTTGTTCTGTCTCTTCTCACACTCCCTGTTGTTGTGTTTGTCTCTGCTTGAAGCTGGAGTGTCGGGCAGTGATGATATTCTTCCACTACTGCGTCCTCTCCAACTACTTCTGGCTCTTCATCGAGGGTCTGTACCTCTTCACTTTACTGGTGGAGACCTTCTTCCCTGAGAAAAGATACTTCTACTGGTACATCATCATTGGCTGGGGTGAGACATTGAACACATCACACATCATATTTGCTTCTTATTTCATTAAAAGGTTCCTTTTCAGTAGAGTTTGTCTTGTGTTTACTCAGGCACCCCCACAGTGTGTGTGACCATCTGGGCTGTGCTGAGGCTACACTTCGATGATATCGGGTGAGTTATGAAAGATAGAATTTGTTCCAAAATTGAAGGTTCTGTGTTCATGTGTTGAATGAACTTCATCATGTGCTCCTCAGGTGTTGGGACATAAATGACAATGCTGCCATCTGGTGGGTGATAAAGGGACCTGTGCTGGCTTCAATTATGGTACATTCAGTGTCAGTTTGAAAAAGTGGGACATAAGGAGATTACTGGCTTCACCAAAGATGGCTATATTTGGTAAAAATTGTTACGTTTCTCTACAGATCAACTTTGTGCTCTTCATTGGCATCATTGTCATCCTCGTCCAGAAATTGCAGTCCCCTGACATCGGTGGAAATGAATCCAGTATTTACCTGTGAGTAACACTTAATTTGACATTGAGATTGTGTCATTAACCCAGTGTTCCTCTAACAGAAGAAAAGCTGAAATCTTAAGTAGTAAATGTTGCTCAGCTCAGTCCCCTCAGGGGGCTTGCTGCTACAACCTTACATGGTCCGTTATTACGGCGATGGAATCCAATGCAGGGGTATCGTAAAGTGCAGCATCAGCTCCAAAAGTCCAGGCTCCAGTTGATTTCTATTTAAGTGTGTACTGGTCAAGTCAAGATTTTAGATAGATACTGTAGAACTTTATTAATCCCTCAGGGAGAAACCATTTATTGCTACAGCAAATAAAAAGACCACAAATATAAAAAAAAATTCAATATAAAAACTTTATGATCACTAGACGACAACCTGTTGTGCATGTGATAGAACATTAAAACCCAAAATACATATCAGTAGGTTCTGATTTCTCTCATTAAAGTGATTTAATGTGCTGCTGTGCAGCTCAGGAAGAGCAATAGAATGTCACCATGAATTCTTCTGTTAAAAGTACATAAATAAACATGAATGTGTTAATTATTGGACAGATAAAGTGGGACATCATGCACACATGCTTCCTTTGTTAGATGAGGATGCAGCCCCTGTGTGAGCTGATTATAATGAGAACACACGTTCTGTGGTCCAGACCTCTCATCATACTGTCACCTATGTGTGTTGCTGGGTAGGAGGTTGGCTCGCTCCACTCTGCTGCTCATTCCTCTGTTTGGGATTCACTACACTGTGTTTGCCTTCTCACCTGAGAACGTCAGCAAGAGGGAGCGTCTGGTGTTTGAGCTCGGCCTCGGCTCCTTCCAGGTGACTGTCCCGCCACCACGGCCTCAGTCTGTTGTTCATACTGTAGAAAATACTGTACCTCTTAAAAGCCAGGATACAGATCTTAGGACTTGGATGTGACATTGGCCTACAGTAAATCACAAAATGAAAACATATGCAGTGAGATTTGTCTTAATACAGTCGTGACTGGGCTGTCGGGTTTAAAGTTTTGACCCATAAAACCCGGAAACAGCATAAAAACTAATAACATGATGACTTGAAGGTATTGCACAGCCTCTCAGTCTGAGCACTGAAGAGGCCTGGTCTCATTTAATTTTTTTAATATTCATCCTTCAGTCATTTGAAGATTTGAGACTTAATGTAAGACTTCTACCACAAGATATACGAACAAATTGGATATTAGCAATCCAGTGAAAACTGTTAACTTACAGCTAAAAACAAACTGAATAGCATACTCGTTACAAAAGCAAAGGCAAGAGAGATCAGTGCTCATACGTTTGCAATATAAAGCCCATACAACCTTATTATTTCTACACTTGCACTAATGGCTGTAGATTTAAAATGTGAAACAGTATGAGAAATGGTTTGGATTCACCGACAGGTGTCTTGCTGTCAGGTACGGCAGTGTTCTTGTCTCACATTAGACCCTGTTTCTGTCCTTTAAGGGCTTTGTGGTGGCCGTCCTCTACTGCTTCCTGAATGGAGAGGTAAATATCCTCTAAAACCATATTTAACGGATTGTACAGAACAACACTGCTATTCCTTAGTACGGTGTAAGGAATAGATGGAGTTTGAAATCCAGACAACTTTATGGTTTGAATGATGTTCATTATTTTCAGTTTTTATTTTCAAACTGAAACATCTGGATATTTTCTGATTATTCATAAAACTATTTTACAAATGGTCTGCATGTAAAATCACTGCTGTGCACAAAAAGTTGAACTGTTTTGCATCTCATCACTTTCTATTACATTATTTTATGTAACAAAATGTTTTGTGGGGGCATAACATTCAGGTGATTTAAACCAAATGGCTCTCTTTAAGATAGAATTATTTTAGTGAAAGACCAGTAAAAACTAAAAATACGGAGCCTTGAGTACAGTACAGACAAAGCCATAGTCAGACAGAGGGACAGTGAGCTTGTCTCTTTCCAGCGAGGTCCATTAATAATGACCCTGTGAAGTATATCCCTCAAGGTGCAATCGGAGATCAAGAGGAAATGGCGCAGCTGGACGGTGAACAGGTACTTTGCTGTGGACCTGAAGCACCGGCATCCTTCACTGGCGAGCAGTGGGGTGAACGGGGGCACGCAGCTGTCCATCCTCAGCAAGAGCAGCTCACAGATCCGTATGTCCAGCCTGCAGGCCGAGACCCCGGCCACCTGAGCAGCACCACTGGGGACACAGCGTCCGGTAATGCCTCCGCAACCGGACCTGAAGGCACCATACCTATTATGCCCACCCTCGTCCCGATGACCAGCCTCACCAACCCGTTCCTCAACTCGTACCCCGACCCATACCCAGACGAAACCATGATGGAAACCCAACTCAGCTCCAGCGACCCAGAGCAGCCTCTAGTCTGACCCGCCTCACCCTGAAACATGAGCACACCTGAATGTCAGGGGCCAAATAATGAATCTCTTTACATCTTGATCTCTGAACTGGCTCATGCTCTGGAGTGAATATAGACACTGCCCTCATGCTCCTGAGCAGCCAAACACTTTCAAAGTGCATGAATGAGGAACCTAGTTTGTGTCTAGTGTATCAGTGGGATGACACATGCAGAGCAAGCATGGTTCTCTCTCTGTGTATCCTGTATTAGTGTTAAAGCTGTGCTGTGCTACACTATTTCCTGCTGTGTAGCACAGAGGGACCAGGTTGTTACTGTGCCATTCCAGTCTGTCTATGAGTTTCAGTCCTTCCTCAACATGTATTTTAGACTCCAACTACAGCACAGTATATTCCTTTAAACAGAGACATCACAGTGCCATTAGAAATGGTTCCGTTTTGGACAGACGCTGGTCACCCTAATGTAAATATCTTAAAGTGGACTCCATAGCTTTTACAGATGAAGATCAGTTAGTTGTTGTGTTGATGCTGCTCAGCCTGTGTGCACAGTTGTATAAGGATTTTTATGGCATTGGAGCAGTCGGAAATTACACTAGTGATGCCTGCGTTACAGACAGAGGGCATTGGGTTTAAAAGAAGCGGGGGAACCAACAGGCTTCAGTGTGTTGCATTATGGGAAATGCAGTATTAAGTGGTTATGGAGCTTGCCCAAACCTGGGACTGTGCTGCTTCAGTTTTGACCAGTCTGTCTCTTGTGTGCCACCCTGGAGTGGCCATTTAAGCAAGGTGACAAACCAGGAACACTAATGTACAGTAAAAAACTTTTTGGTAAATATTTTGACCACAGTTTAAGAAATGAAGGTTCATACTCACATCAGTGTTAAAAACTGTCACCTTTTCATTAGTGACTGAGGTGAAGTGTCAGCTGAAAGCAGCTCTGGCTATTTTCAGTCCAATTATACTGAGACTTAAAGAAGACAGCTATGCCACGTCTAAACACAGTGCAGCACTCGATGTACAAACAGTGACTCTGTCTGAACACAGTGTTATTAACCACTGCTGGCATAAGCCTTTGTTTCCTGTGTGAACTTTGACTGATGTAAATCCATATCATGGGTGTTGGAGACAAGCAGACTGGGGAATGTGGAGGAGAAACCTCACCTGGAACAGGTGAAGCCTTGGAAAAGCAGTATTTGAGACAAGGACAGATTTTCTAGTTTTGTGAAGTGCCAAAAAAAAAAGAGTAAAAACTAAACCATACCAGGGTTAAGTGCTTGACTTATTCTGGTGGATGCCCAGATGCTTAGGTTTGCCGGCTCCCCCCCCCACACACAAGCCTCTTTTGAACTCCCAGCACTGAAACAAGGCATCAGAGAAGGAGACGTTTTAAACAGCCATCAGTACAGAAAATGTCAATGAAAACCAACTCGTGACTAAAGCATCATGAGTTCAGCTATTTGCATGAAATTGCATTTATTGTGGTTTTGTTTACAGATGGATTTTACTTTTTTAATGAGAATTCAGTGTTTTATTTGGATGTTGCATTTCTTAAAAATGTGTTTTTAATGGACTGCTGCAGCGCTGGTGACACTGATTTTGTTACTTTTTAAATCCTCCTGTAAGTAGTTTCAACATGGTCCTGGTCTACGTGAAGGTTTCAACAGCACTTCACCTAATTTGTGGTTAGAATTTCCAGCTTTGCTTCTGAAAAATCTGTTTTGACTATGAAGGGTTTTTTCAATCTCTCGTGACAACTCGCAGTATCTCAGTCTCTCTGCATTGACTGTCTGCTCTCCTGGACATTACTTTAAGAGGGTGACATTTAACCTGCGGGTAATTTTCTTCTTCCAAAGATGAATTAATCGACTCCTCACCGAGTTCATTGCACGGCCTGTTGGCAAAATCTGAGTTAGCTTTGCAACTGATGCAACTGCAGATGTTTCCTGACTCAACAATCCTCTGGATCCCTAAAAACATTTGACTCTACTTTGTGTCTCCAAAGGTGCCTTTAAGCACAAAACAAGCATTTTGACTTAAGAGTTAAAAGAAAAGAAAATCTGTCTTTTAATTTTGAAACGAAACTGCAAAGTAAAAAAAGGGTTTAACAAAGTGCTTTTATGATGCTTAAGATTAAACCAGTATTTTAAACTTGAGGCCTTCAAAGTCCTTTAACCCAGTTTGGCTAAAAATGAGCAAAACATACGATCAGTTCTTGTTTTTAATAAAGCAGTGTTACAGTATATGAACTACAGTGATAAATATGTTTAAATTGTCTTACTGTAGAGACACATCTTTTATTTTCTCTAGGACAGAGGAATTATTGCACCGTAAAATGCTTCATGTACCTGAAACACAAAAGAACTGACTGACAAACTTCAAAGAGGCCAAATTCAAAACGTGCAATTTGTGCAAGGACTGAAAACATCTGGTCAAACAGCAACAAATGAATTTATCAGTTAACATATCTTTTGTGCATTTCCTGAATAAACACTGTTTATGGCCGACATCTCTTTAGCACTGAACTGAAGTTCACTGTTGACTTTGTCCTCAATAGCTTTGATATCACACATTGAACACTGTGTGGTCATTTGCAGGCAAAAACATGTCACGCATGGAGTCGTGAAATTTACCAAATGTCTTTGACTGATAATAATAATTTATTTAAAATAAAAAACTTACTTACAGACCACGTCCTCACCACACACAGGGAGAATGAAGGGCTGTTGTTCTGCTGTCTGCGCTCAGCTGAGTCCGACCTGCTGTGACACCAGCGCAGTCACCAGGGGGCTCTGTTTCACCCTCCGCTGCTGGACAGTCACCACCTCTGACTCAGCTGAACGTTCAGCTGATTTCATCACAAACATTAAGACAGTCTCATTGGGCATGAGCCGAACTTTGCTGATGTATTTATAAACGCTAAAGGAGGAGTCGGAGCCTTGTTTTGCCAGTACTATGTCGATGTCAGACAAATTGCTATAATGTTTCTGTTATAAAAAGAATAAATACTTTTCTGTTATAAAAAGAATAAATACTGAGTTGAACCTGTTGTTTTGAACTATGAAGTAGTGTGTGACAGGTCTGTAGCCAAACTCTAAACAAACTGCTGTTAAATGTGCAAGACAGAAACAAGCTGCCAACGCTGTACCTTGTAAATGTGAAAGTGAATAGCTGTCATCTAAAAAAAACTAACTTTGCGCTGTGATTGTTTTCATATTTCCTAAATGGTGACTGTGTTTGCCTCCTGTGATGCCTCTGTACTCTCTAATAGGCTGATGCATGTGTGTTTAATCATTTTGATCTCATCTGACCAGCTTTTAATCACAAGGGGGGATTGAGCTTTCAGGCCATTAAGGGAATCTGAGCTGTGTCCTTGTCGTCGAGTGGATGAGCCAAATAATAAGCTAAAACACAGGTATATGGTTTCAACTGTGAACATGTATCCCCTGTAGCTCCAGGCCCTTCAGGACCCCTCAAATTCTTTTTCTTTGAATGTTAATCTTCCCAGACAAAAGGAAAATTAAAGTGCCATAAAAGGTGGTGTACTCTGTTTTTACTGCAGAGCATGACATGAAACATGGCTTTTCTCTTAAGCAGTTTGATGGTGGTTTCCTTTATTCAGTTGCTTCATGTTTGAATCAAAGGGGCCAGTGTTTGTGTGCTGATGGCTGAATGCAGAATTGAAGCACTGACTGTCTGCTCATGAGCTCATCTCTTTCACCGCACAGAGCACCACTTTGTTTTGTTCTGATGCACACATTAGAGGGGTTTTTTGTACATTATGGAAGTATCAACAATAAATGTTTCTTCTTTCTAACTTGTTTCAGTGATGTTGTGAACTAATGTCGTAATTATTTGGATGCCTTTTATAAGGCTGGTCCTATTTTGTGTTTTTGTCTTGTCAATAAACCCAATGCAAAGACCAAAACCAACAATGTTAGTCTCTCAATGCTTTCCAGTTTCTCTGTCCTGTCACTGGAACTCATCCTCCCAAGATGTAAACCTCTGAAAAGGGAGCACAAACACAAAGTTTCATCTTTAAAATAGGCTCAGTAACTCTTTTAAAACATCTGGTCACTGTAGTTTTTAAGAAATGTTACTCAAGAAGAGGAAACAATGTATGTGCTGGGGACTATTTTCAGCAGTGGATGAATCCACATTTGGTCTCTAGTAAGTATTTGTTGCAGCAGGAAGTGTGTGTGGGACTGAGTCAGTGTGCATTAAGGTGTATGTGTTCATGATGATGAAGGAACCAGTCACCCAGTGCAACCGTGTGGTCACTGATGGCTTTTTAATAGTTCTTGGACAAAATCATTTTAATCCACACCTGAAAATAGTCCAGAAGAAATGCAATGTTTTCTCCTGTTTAAGCAACGTTGGCTATAAACTGCAGATCCCAGCTGCTGTAGGAAATGACTGAGCCTATTTTACAAATGAAACTGTAAGTTTGTGAGTCATTTTCAAAGATTTACATTTGCAGTAGCTGAGTCCCACAGGCCAGAAACACAAAGTACTGAAAGACATATTAATACATTGGTTTTGTTTTGTTTTGCTTTTCATAGGATGTTGACAATGAGAAAAATATAGACACTCACCAGCCTTATCTTTAATGTTCACCCCAAGCCAAAATAACAAAACACTGAACCAGAAACTTCCACTCGTGTTGCAAAATGGAACCTGTGAAAGAAACATCCATATTATATTTTAAGGTCAGAAAATAGGAACATGTTCACTGTCCACACCAAAACTGTAGAGTGTTCTAATCTAAAACGTTCAGACACAACATGAAAAGCAGTTTTTCACAACATGCTTAGCTGATGTCACCGTTCTCTTTGTCTCTGCAGAACATGAAAGACCCAAGTACACGGTATAATATCACGATCTTAATTATATGATCTTTAATGCCATTCAGCTGCAGGTTCAGTCCACTTAAACTGCATGAAATCAGTGAAGGCACTAGTAGCTGAGAAACATTATTTCCTTCCATGAAGAATCCTGTAGAAATGTACAGTTAAATAACGTCCAAACACAGAGAAACATGTACAGTCGATACACAGACACTGAGAATACCCACGACTCATCTACTCTCCCAGAGTGACTCCTCAGAGAAAACAGCACAGCACTGCTAAACCTATGATAACAAATCAGGACACATACCACATGATGGTCACCACTTTTTGAAATATTACACTATATAAGAATAAAACTAATCTCCATGTGAGATAGAAAACATCTTAAGTATAAATACAACTTATTTCTTGTTTAATCTCATTTTAGTTACTATATATATATGACTTTCATTTTATAGCAACAAGGTAGTTTAATATAGTAATTATATAGTAATTATAGAAATCTGATGGACAAAGTCATAAAATACATGTAAACTCTACTTCAGGTCATTTACATTCACAAAAACACATAAAAACAGTAGCTTTTACAGTCTAGTGCTCCAGATGTGCGCTAGTGCACTGTGCAACATGTTGCATGCAGAGCCACTGATGGTAACATGGGCATGTTCTATTAAATAAGAGAGTTTAAAAGTCTAATTTTAGAAGAAATTGCTCTGAAACATGATCATGGAATTCTCAGTGACCGCCATTCAAAAACCCAAGTGGCACTGAATCAGTAACTGGCAGAACAATGAGAACGTCACAGTGAGCAGAGTCCAAACCTAAATGGATGGCACCAATTCCTCAGGTAAAAGTGTTAAGAACTAAATACAGAGCTGCAAAATTAGCAACCAGCAAGTGCATATGTATTGATAAAACACTTTAAGACTTGTGAAACAGCAGGAACACATTTGATTTCCATGCCCCATTTGGGAGTGTGTCGTTCATTCCTGCATGCCTCCATTAGAAAGCTCTATCTGCTGATGTGGGAGAAGTTTCCAAACCTTCCAGGAAGTCCTGATCCTTGAAGTCTCACCTCTTTTAAAACCCAAATATACTTTTGTAAAAACATAAACCTTGTCTTTACGCAGCTTGTGTCAGCAAATAATGGGCTTGTTACTGCCACCTGAGGCTGGAGCACTTGGTTTTACACACAATAAGCTTTCAAGGATGAGACTTAGTTGGTTGGTTTGGCAGATGCTTGACAGGTTCCCCTCGTCCGATAAACACCAGGGCAGCCACTGTCCCAAGCTTCACTGCTCAGAGACAGCAATAAATTCTTGGAGATGTGGTGTTGCGGTAGTTCCTCTCTACCCTTTTCTCCCTGTCAGCAGTAACTTCAGACTGGTCATGTGTTCCAACAAACTTTATTGGTTGTTTTAAATTTGTGGGTTGGAAGCCACTGAGGGATGAAACTGTAGGGCAGAGAGTGAACCTACCATGCACTGCTGCCTATCTGTGTGGGCTGTTTCTGTCAGGTAAAAAGGATCAAATCTGCTAAGATATATACAAATTTATACCAAAAATACCTTTGTAGCTTGTTCAACACTGCCTCAGTCAACACTTTGTGCAGCCTGGTTGAAATGATACAAATGCAGAACTGAAAAAAGGAGCATTAATCTAAGAAGCAAAACAACAATGTAAAAACAAAAAGGTATTAATGGAACCAGGGAATTACTTTACTATCACAACCTATAGAGCAGACAAAGGAGGAGGAGGGGTTGTTCCTAATGCAGATAATCAAATCATAGTGAAAAATGTTCAAACTGTGCTTCAACACAGTTCGTTTTACTGTAACGATGATCACACACTAAGCCTCCATCATTTAAATAAGCAGTGTTTTGACCACAACTGGTATCAGTTCATTATCAGTAACATAAATAACCCACAATTTGCCACCCCTGTGTTTCAAAGCTTTAGTGTGATGGCTTAGAAACCACGATGCAGGGGTGTTTATGTAAAAAGACTCTGGAACCCTCTGGATGATGAAAATAATGTGGAAGATGAGCTTGATCTATGACACTACAACCTGAGGTTTTCATTGTAGTTTAGTCAGTTTGTTTTTTGTAGATTTGATCCAAATTATACATGTAAACAATTATGTTTGTTTATAGATGCTGTATATAGTCCTGGTTTTGTTTTTGGTGAATATGGGATTTAATTTTGTGGCATTTGCAGAGGTGCCTCTGACTCCGGTTAACCACTGGGTGCACCTCTTGGTGATAAGTTGATTGACACTCGTTGTTGGGAAAATGTTAAAGGGACACAGACTGTTACACACCAAAGAAGGCACAGCTGAAACACTGTGCTGCAGTGATGTGACCTCAGGCCTACAACAAATCAACCACCATTATCTCCTACGTTGTTCTTTGTCGTTGCCCGTTTCCAAGCATTAATTCCCCTCAGTAAAAACAACAAACATGACTTTTTATCACAAGGGAAAGACTGAGTCAGAAAGGTTGTGGGCTACATGAGGAATGAATTATTTCCTCCTTTTAGTAAAACGGTTTTGACTGTTAATGTTGTGAAGCTGTACACTGGTGATATCAGTGCTGTTGTAAAAGAGAATTTGCTTATTAGTTGCCTGTAAAATGTGACCGAGGCCTCCCAAAACAAAATCATAAAATAGACATTCTTGTCACAGTTAATAAAATTTCATACTAATTGCCATTACTTGAGGGGCATGTTTTGCAGTGTGTGTATATGCACTGACAAAGACGAAAATATCTACTAGATGTTGGAATTTTGAGTAAGATGCCCTTTGTTTCTACTAGTACCAAAGCTTTAGGCAAATTTTTTGTGAAACTTGTGTATGGTGTAGTGAATTGGTTAGTCTCATGTTGATACCTAAATTAGGTGGGCCACCGAGGATTCTACACAGTTAAGAGGTTCTTTAACATTCAATAATCAGGTTGTGTGGTTCAGTCTCAGGCTCAGGTATTCGTCGAGTGTCCGTCACACAGCGGAGACGTCGCTGGCCGTGAGGGCACGTGTCTGTGAGCCCGGCTGATCTTTGGGGCTGGATTTGTCCAGAACAGAGATCTGAGTGATGGTGCTGCTCTCAGTGAACAGTGTGCGCCGTCGTTTACTGTAGCTCAGGTAGCTCTGAGTCTGCCATTTCCAGAACCTCTTCTTCAGCTCAGCCTGAACCTGAAAACACACACAGCACATGGAGGAGAAAGATAAAAGTTACAATATGGAAAATACAAGCTTGGACACACTTTTCCATTCAGAGAGTGCATGTACCTCTGCCGAATCACAACATTCACTCATGCAAATGGGCCTTGTGTCCTTGATCTGGATCGGGATATACTGTATGTACAATATATATGTATACATAGGCAGTTACACTGTGCATCTTACCTGAACATTTCAGGGTTCTGTCTCCATTAAAGGCCAAGTTATGGCAGAAAATATGTGTTAAATGGAGATTTCAGTGCTACCTTTAGATAGATCAGATCTGGATGAAATACAGTCTGGTGATAGACATTGCCAACCTACATATATGTGTTGAATTTCAAACGGTTTCAATAACCTTTGAGGGAAATGTAAATTTTTAAAATTTTACCCCATGATAAGGATGGAGATTTTTGTGACCTTGACTTTGACCTTTTTCAGCCAAACTCTAATCACTTTTAGGGTCAGTCACCATCAATGTCTGGACCAAGTAGGCTGATGATCCATCCAGCTATCTGTCTGTAATCCTGTTAACCAGGTAATCCTGGAGGTGATAATCCTGTGTGGGTGTAGATCCTTTAGTATGTCCTGAAACACCAGGCGTCAGAACATACCACACTACTTGCTTATAACTGCTCTCTGAATTATGAAATTTAGCCAGAAAATAAAGGTGTGAGCACCTCAGGCCTGTTTATCATCTTGCCAAGTTGCTTTTCAGCATTAAAAGCAGTAGCTCTGCGTGAGAAGGTTAAGATACAAACTTAAAATGGTTCTGAAAATAGTTAACATACAGTAAGGCCAACTATTAAAACTGGGTTGTTCCTCTGACAATAAAATATAAAATTTAGGCACATTAGTGATGACAGCATGTCAAATTTACTCACCTCACCGTTCAAGAAGCAGTAGAGCAGAGCCACCACAAATCCCTTCAGAGTATAAAACAGATTATCCACAACTGTTTAGTATGAAACGTTAAAGCTGTAGTATACTGAGCAAACCTGCCTGACACTGGGAGAGAACAAACAACTGGCTTATATTTGTATCTGTATGGAAGTGTTGTTGCTTTACTTGTGTTTTACCTGGAAGGAGCCCAGGCCGAGCTCTATGATGATTCGGGCATCTGTGCCTGTGTTTTCTGGCAGGAAAGCAAACACCATGTAGTGCATCCCGAACAGGGGGATGAGGAGCAGCGTGGACTTGGCCAGCCTCCTACATACAGACACGCACGCACGTGATGACTACATGCATGTCTCTGAGTCATTTGTATGTGTGCATCTCATTCATGTCACCATGTGCAGGGATTCAGCGTCTCACTTGAAGTGACTGGTGTCGTTGCCTCCGACACCTGGAGACCTCAGCTTCTGGACCAGAATACGGATCACATTGATGAAGATGATGAAGTTCACCTGCATGACACAGATGAGGGGATCGCATTAGGACTGTTATTCTATAGATGCAGCCTTTTTTCCTCATGGTCCTGCTTCTGCAAAGAAGAATTTTTTTGAATATACAATTATGTGCAAATGTTTTAGGCACTAGAGAGACAACGCTTTTATGCTTTTACATTTTAACGTAGTCAGGTCATAGAAAGTACAGTAAACATCTCGGAGAACCTGCTGGTCCCCTTTGGATTCAGGCTGTCTGTGTCTACATGTAATGACAGACTGACTCCCTCATGACCAGGGCTCTGAAACAGGACTCCTGCTTCTTCTGGCCTCTGACTCTTGTGGGTGTCTGGCCTCAATGTCAGGCTGCAGAATGTGGGACCAGCCACACGCCTCCCTGATGGCGCTGCACGGTGATAAGAAGTGGCTACAAATTTTGCACAGTACTGTATGTATTTTTTATAATTTTTAAGAGCCAACATGAATTACTGCTGATTAGTGGTGAGTGATAGCAGGTGTATATGCAGTACTGTAAGAAGACATGCAGCCCTTTATTCTCTGCCCAGGCTGACAGCAGAATAAACAGTGACAAGAACTGCAGTACAAACCAGTTGGTCCTACTGGGAAGAAAAGAGGGAAAACATTAATACAAAATGAACCACAGAGCCAGGAGGTTAATGGTAGCTTTAATCAACTCCGAACGCAACAAACAAAATCACACCAGCAGGGAAACAAGAAAACACACTGATTAACTGCTTCTGTTCATGTGCTCTCAACTACACACTAAGTTTCTCTGCTTCCATGGAGGAAATGAATCAGCTTTCCTTGACTTGTTATTGTTGTCAAGATGAGGGTCCACAGTTGCTGCCACAGAGTCAAAGCACAGGCCTGGTCCTAGACTGAGGCTCTTATGATTCCTCAGTACATCCCACTGTAACTGCTCTGTACTCACCAGTAGTGATGCGGTTATTGGAGCTTTAATGATCCACCAGATGAAGGCCACGTCCGTGTCATCCCAGCACCTGAGACACACCACAGGCAGTAATGGAATAAACGAGACTGCCCCAGGCCTGCGATCACGTACAGTACGCCTCATCACGAGACGCACCACTACTCACTGCCCACAGCCACAACCTCCTGTTAGAAATATTCAGCACCTCACCCCCTGTTATCGTAGAAGTTTCGGGTGAGGATCCACGCCGTGATGATTGTTGTTGGGAGACCTGGGAGGCACAAAGAGAGTGGCCTGATCATTAGAGTCAGAAAAGAGCCCTTAACAAGAGGCAGTGAGAAAAAAGAAGCAAAAATGATATGAAGGGAACCAGAGGCACCATGATCAAAGGTCAGCACCCACCCCATCCAATGAGTATGTACCACCAGAAGTATTTCCTCTGAAAGACAAAGGTGAGTGCAAGCAACGTCTGCAAGTACATGCCCTCCACCAGCAGCCAGAAGTAGTTGGCCAGGATGCTGAACTGGAAGAAGGCCACGGCTGATTTACAGGCTGCCTGCAGGACAAACACAACAAAAGACCGCAAGCATCAGATTGGTCCATGGAGCTCGTTCATCCAGAGCTGCCGTAATGGTAACGGCCTCTCCCATCAAATTATGGGTCACAGGGAGGTCTGTAGTGATAACACGTTCTAAGGGGAAAGAACATAACGGCCTCCTATTAATTTGTCACTTTTTAAATTAAAGGTGTAAATTTTCTGCTGAAGCTCTGGGTGTGTGTGATAATTATGTTCTAATTAAGGTTAAGCCCTGTTATCTGTGCTGTCGCTTACCATTGCAGAGTCCCACTGATGCACTTTACAATAATGATAAAAGATTTACTTCTGAAACACTGTAATAATTTTTAAAACAATGGCTCTTTGATTTCATATAGATGTAAACACAAGGCTTCTGATTTCTCGCCACGGACTTTATAATCATGAGTAATGAGTGCATCTACAGGCAGTTGCAGCACATCAGCGTTAACTGTGTGAGGGAGGAGAAAATGCTGCGCTTTTCAAAGAGAACAGAAGACATTCTGGGCTTCCTCTGCCGCCTTTTATGCTAATGGTTGAAATTCTCCAAACCTGAGGTTGTTTGTTACAGTTTCTCCTATTTATGGAGCATATTGAGCCACTGTGTCCGCTACCAGACAGGCCCCTAAAATTACACACGCTACCCAACGACTGTACATGTGCACTTTACTGGCTCATGTGTGTTTAAATGATTGGTCTTATTTAAATGTTCTTTGTTATGTGTTATATGCTGACTCTGACGGCGGCCATGGGCTGAAAGGCGGTGCTCAAACAACAAAGTTGGTCTTTGCACTGTTAGGGTTGCTGGAGTTTTGACCTCTTCACCAGCTAGTTGCTAAATGTGTCTGTCTACCAGTTGGTGCTGGGGAGTGATGAGTGCGAGTAAGTAAGGAGAAACTGAATCCTGACCATTCTCACTTTCACTCTTACCGCTTTCTAACAACATCCCCTCATCCACTGATCATTTCTCATTATTTTTCCTGCCATGTTCCTGTATTCACTTTTGTTTCTGACGGAGCATAAGGCATCTTCTTTTCTCCTCCTCTCTCTCATGGCACTGTTCACCCACCACCTCTGCCTCACACAGCCTCTAAATGAGTCACGGTGATGTGCTGATGCTGGTCCCTCGTCGCCACACTAGAGGGACACTCACTGTAACTTCACTACAGGCACAGTTTTTTTTTCTCCACTGATTCACTCCCAGCATCTCAGTCCTACTCCAACCTGTTCTCTTTGCCAGTGAGCTCTTGTCATGTTCATGGCCAGGAAACAAAATGCAGATAATCCTCACCGTGTCAGCGTCGACACCACAGAAGTCTCAGTCTTTGTGTAATTTCTATTTCAGCTGCATGACGTTTCCCATGACTCTTTACTCTAGTTCACCATTAGTACTGTATCTTTACCTCAACTACAACTTATGTTTACTTCACTGGATTTCTCAGAGCAGGATAAGAAGTAGTATGACATTTTTATTCTGTGGTAGCCTGGTGCTGGTTTATACTTATGAAATGGATCCTTCTCTGATAAATGTAGACACCATGGATCGAAGCTGGAGGGTCTCACACTCACTGTAGACATGAAGCAGTGGTCCAAGTTTTCATCAAAGAAGAGGATGCCATCTTTAATGAAGACAGCACTCGCTCTCAGGATGAAGGAGATGAACAGGTTGATGTGGATGTAGTTCCTGGTGCAGTGAAACTTTCTGTAGAGCAGAATCAATTGCAAACTTTATTTCTCTATTCTAGGTATTTGTGATTACTTATTCACTGTTATGGGGCAGTTTACACAGTCTAGTTTTACATTTCTCTGGAGAAAGAGTGTTTTAGACAGTGAAGACAAAAATGGCAGATATAAGAGAGATGAGGGAGGTAGCGTAGCCGGCCGTGTACACTTGTTTGAAGTTGGAGAAGTATGCTGTCTGAAACAAACATAAAAAGACAAATATGACATCAATAAAATCAGTGTTACTTTCACTCACCCACACCCTTCACACTTGTTCTGAAGTCTTGAATAATATGATTTGGATCCATGGCAGTTCATCCACTGACAAAGCATCAGTTCAGAGTGAACGTGAGTGAAATGTTCCTCACTGAGATGAAGGTCGCTATCGATGGATGAGGGCCAACCTACTGTAACCACTGGTTTCATCCTATGTATCATCAAAACTTTGACGTGTGATACTGAGACCAGACAAAATAGGCAACAGCATCTTCAGCATGTGCACATTGACCATTTACTGATAGCGAACGTTCCACCTGTGACCAGACAGGCAGCATGTGCACATTGACCATTTACTGACAGTGAACGTTCCACCTGCGACCAGACAGATGATCAAATGAGGAGAAAGAGGAGCAGTTCTTGTACATGGACGTACGGACAGTGTGTGGTTAGTGTGTTGTTGTTCAAACAGTGATAGAGTGAGACATCACCTACCTCTGGTTCTGTCACCTCGATGTCAGAGAACTCACAGGCCTCCCTGTAGGTCAGGTTGAGCTCGGCCCATCCATTCTCAGTGCAGTTCCTATAGATGTAGGCTAAAAAACACAGAAACACCCCTGTTTCTTTGGTCTGCTTCTACCTTTCCTGGTTCAGGTCATTTATTTCCTGGGACATCTTTATGCTACAGTGATATTTTAAACAGTGTTGTTTCCATCTTTTTTTGGCCAGTCTGGGGGGAAGGCTTTTTCCTCCCTAGAAATGATTGTTTTGAATACCGGGATAGTACCTGGCACAACTTAAGAGTGACAGGGCACAGAGAGACCATTTAATGCAGAAATACGAGTTAATAAAAAAGAGTTTTAGTAGAGATTTAAAGAAAGTCAACTGAGACAGCAAGACATTATCATCAGTGAAGTTGCTCTAGAGTTTGGGGGACGGGACAGCATATACACAATCTCTTTAGTTGTCTAGAAAGTAAGTTTGCCAACAGAGTATAGGCACAAAATCCCACACGACCATGTAGTGCTTTAAAAATAATGAATAACATTAAATCAAGGAGCCAGTGCAAATATCTCTGTCACTGCAGCATTCTTTATAAGGTGAAAGCAGGTGTGGTTGGATGAATGTGATGTTTCTGCACTCAGAGACCTGACCTCAGCACCTTCAGAGGTGACTTGGAATGGCGACTGCAGTCCGACCTGACAAAAACATCAGTGTTAATGATTTTGTGTCTGAATGGGAGCGAATCCTTCCAGCATCTGGTGCAAAGCTTGAAGCAGAGGCAGCAGATTACTGTCCTTGATTTTGGTATCAGATGTCTACATTTGGACATGTAGTCTTCTTGAAAACCAGGGGAAATAAAATAAAACGGTGTACAAGGTTAAATACCACTGAGAAAGTGGAAGCCTGCAGAATGTATAATTAAAATTTGGGTGTTTGAGGAGCTTCTTTTCAATGTTATGGAACCATTGTGGGTTGAAACAAAGAGCTCTCTCCTCCAATCTTTTGTTGACCTATGAGTTCATTTTTTGTGGACCCACAGTCTCATATGAAGACAGGTTCTTACTTCATTCGCTTCTAGGTGAGTATGAGTGTGGCCCACTCAGGTGATGAATCTAAATGAGGCAGCGATGTTCTCCCACCATGGCCTGAAGTCAGACTCACAGAGCTCACTCACTAAACTCTACGACAATCATGATGCACAGAGGTCACAGGTTTTATCTGTGAATCTATGTTTACCAGGAGGAAGATAAAAGGTTTTCAGTGAAATAGCAGCTTCACTTTCACAGTATGAAAAATGTCAGTGTGGGCAGAGTGTGGGGGTGTGAGTTGTGGGTGGATTTCCCCGTATCCAGCTGCATTAGCCTCAGTCTAACGTGAGTGTAGGGCTGCAGGGCTGCAGCTGGTGGATATGAATAGAGGCTGAAGGCCGAGACTCTGGGGAGGGTGCCGGTGCACATATTGCCAAGCTTAACAAGAAGCGCATACTCCTTTCTCATGCTGTTGGCTCTCATAGTGAACTCTTTGATTTTCCAATTCATTATTTTCTCTGCATGCACCCTCCAGTCAGAGAGGCTGGATCTCATTGCACGGCTACAGTGCTCCACTTATCCGGGTGTCTGTGGAGGAGGAAATCTGCTGGGGTCCAGGAACCCACTAACACCAAGTTATGAGGTCATGTGGAGCAACCTCCGCCTCCTGATCCCTCCACACACTGTACACATTTAACTTTCACTGACGAGCTGCTGCGAGTTTTCTGTGCTTCTTCTCCGCTGTGCGCTGTCTTACTGTCTGACTGATTCAACATTCAGTAGCGAGTCTGATAAGAGCCATAATGTTTAATGTTTAATAATGTAGTCAAGGTGACGAGATGCCAGGTACATTTACTCAAGCACTGTATTTAAGTACAATGTTATTTATTTAGTATTTCCACTTTCTGTTACTTTTACTGCACTGCGGTTTAGAAAGGAAATACTGTACTGTTTAACAATGAATGATGATTTATTATTATGGATAAACAACCTGACAGGACATAACGTGGTTAAAATCAGCTCCACCTTTAGCAGCTGTGCTGTTTTTGTTCCACACTAAGTCACTACTTTGTAACAGACCAGCAAGCATCAAATTCTAGTGTTTAAAACATTTCCTACCAGAGTACTTTTATACTTAAAGTATATTCTAGAGCAGGTACTTAGTAAGGCACCTTTGACATGGAAATCAGAATGTGAGAGGTTAATATTAAATTAGGTTCATGTTATAAAATGTTAATAAAAAATGTAATTCAGCTGGCATAATGTTTCCTTCGAAATGTACTGTATTTGCTGTTACTGGAGTACAAACATGATTTTTATGAGAAATGGTTGCATAAATAACCAGGTCAAAGTAAATATTCACAAGACAAAGAGGCATAACCTGCTACGGTCGTGCTGGCATCAGACATGCCATTAGTCGCAGGTATTTGGTCGTAAAGTTTCACAGAAATTGACATTTTGATCTGATCATGGCGCCAGAAAAGCTAAACGATCACAATGGTAACCATCAATGCCTGAGGAGGTCCACTGAATAGCTGCTGAATAAACAGCTCCACCTTTTTGCTGATTGTGCTGAAGGAAATCCCCAGTCATTCTAATAAATGTGACAGTCTGACTGACTGGGCTAAAAATGTAAAACTAAAAAACTGTCTTTCATTAAACATCTAAAGAAGTTCTCTTATACCATCATTACTTGTTCTCAGATGGATGCTCCTGAGACTCTCAGTCCTGTAAGCCTCACGTATTCCCTCCTTGCTCCTGTATTGACCTAATAAACTATAAAAGAGAAATCGTTCAAGTACTTTTTGGCCTCAAAGAATAAAAGAGGTTTGCCAAAGGTCCCTTTTAATGCAGCTGATACAGTCTTTAGTGAATACTTTGTCTACCCTTTCTGTACCTTTTTATGTGAATAATCATGTGGCTTACTCTGCTTGTCAGGTTGATTATCATTTTACACCCGATTAGACGAATGAGGGTTTTTAAACTGCCTCTTCTGGGTTTGTTTGTGACAACTTGCAGATTTTTCTGTCATCAATCGTTTGCCAAATGTCCAGAAACACATTTTCTCCCATCTCAGTTGCATCTGTGTCTGTCTGTCCGACAGCAGCTATCTCAGAGGTTCAGAGCGTATTTTGTTAGATCAGCCAGCTGCGTGAGACGGGCGGGCATCTGGAGAAGGTGGGGAGCCTGTAAACAGTCAGGAGATCGTCGCTCCCTGCAGTCGAGTTCAGACGAAATGAGACCAGCCCAAGTAGAAAAACATCTAGTAAACCACTTAGTGAAAGCACTGGTCTTAAGAAACATCTAAATATAATCTGGTCACTTACAAGTAGAAAAACATCTAGTAAACCACTCAGTGAAAGCATTGGTCTTAAGAGACATCTAAATATAATCTGGTCACTTCGCTGAGCTGTAAACAAAAAGCTAGGGGAACTGAGCACAAGTTCATTATGCTGTAAAAGTTTCTGACTTCTCTCTTGTCAAGTTTCAGAGGTCCTGCTCTACTGGCAAAGGTCGGCATGGCCTTAGATCGGAGTACTGACCAATAACCTCACTGGATGAAATGCAGTACAGGCCCACGCAGGAGGACTGGTGGCAGCATTATGAATCATTTCTCTGCCTCACACAGGGCTGAGATTTTGTTGCTATGAAAACAAAAACAAAAAGTGCAAATGTGAACAAAAACCTATTTCAGTGTATAACAGTTAGAATTCCTGAAACTGAAAGAAGAACCCAGGAGTAGAGTAAAGGGGTATGAATGTGAAAAAATATGACTTGTAGCTTGTGTTTTCTTGTTGTTCTGTACAGTTTGGGCTGTTCTCTGTGAATGCTACAGACAAGTATTATGTATTTCAAAGATGGGGATTGCAGAGTAGCTTACATGATACAGTGGCTCATGCTACAGACTTGAACCTACAGTATAAATAGTAAAATACAGGAACAAATAAATAAATTAAAACAAAGCTTGATTTAGACATGTTGACCCTCAGCGTCCGCTTGCTTCACTTCACTTATGCCTTCACACTCCACTTGTGTCAGAGCTGAGCAGAAGTTATTTACCTTGGTTGTTAGCAAACAGCTGGGAGATGTTGCCACACGAGATGCTGATCACCTCTCCCACCTCAGCGCGGTACCAGCAGTGGAAATTATCCCACAGCGTTGGACAACCTGGGATAGGAAGACAACATTTATCACTCGTTAGCCAGAGTCAGAATTATCAGCTCATAGTCATGAGCATGAGAAGTTATGAAAGGACAGAAGTGATCTAGGCAGGACATGAACATTTAATTCACTCAGGATGTAATCATGCAGCACTGTATAAACTGTACGAGAACTGTCAAAGCAGAGCATCAGTGACCTCATGTGACAAATAAGAATAAATGTCACTTTACTGGTAGAACAACAGTATCATGGAAGCAGACAACGACAGAATAATGCAGCACTAAATCAAGAAATAAAACATCAACAAGACGTATAGAGCAAAGAGAGACGGGTAAAAACAGCTCTGCTCTCTTCTCCTTCTCAGTTACATCACCGTGTAAAGTTTGTGTTGGAACTGCAACAAATCTACAGAATATCAAGCTGCTTCTGTCAGTAGATGTTTTTTGGAAGATACTTTTTTGGCATTTTGCATTTAACTGGAAGGAGATGTTTAAGACATGAGCAAAGGTTTCCCAGACAGGATCCAAACCACAGGTCCCGTCATGATCTGGTCCAATATGCACCCTAGCCATAAGGTATAGAATGTCCTGTGACTCCTAACACTTAACATACAATATATTCTCAGTAAAGGAACAAAATAATCAGTTAAATAAATCCACAATCTCTGTGACATTGCTACATTAGGAGTAAAATTAAACTTCACTTAGAAACTATTTGAAAACTAGTTAATCTGCATGAGAAAAAACCTTGTGCACAGACAATGACTCTGTAAAGATACAGTATGTTCCCCGTGCGTAAATTAGTGAAATAACTGTATGAAGCCATGCGCATGGAGCTGCAGGTGCATCAACTGCCCATTTATTGTGATCCCACAGAGCTGTACGGGTGGCAACAGCAAGCGAATCATTAGGTGCTAATTAAAGCAAAGCTCGTGACACTGAGGTTGGGTGATGTAATGGGTGACTGGACTGGTGCCTCTTCTTCAGGAGGTAATGCTGCATCCTCCTCTGCCCTGCCCTTATTTCATGCATTTACTAGAGCCTATTTAACATCCTTCAGCAGCATTGTTACACTCACATGCATGAGCATGTCTTTGATGCACACATGCATACAAACATAGCAGCCCCCCGACAAACTGAACAAGGAAGTCTCTTTGTGTTCCTCTGGTAAGTTTGGGCCATAATGTGTGTTTTTAAAGAGAAACATGTCATTGCTACAGCATACTGATGCACACATCATGTAGGCAGACTGGTAACAACACAGTTTCATTATCTCCCCCAGAAACCAACAGAGCACTGAAGCTGAAATGATTCATTTCTAAGCAAAAACACCAAAAATTCATTGATCAGCTTCTTAAATGTGAAGACTTGCCAGTTTTTATTATTCATTTTGGTTGCAAACAGCAATGTTAATGTTACTTCACTCTTCTTACATTTTATGCACTGAATAATGAATCAATTAATAAACAAAATAACTGTTAGATAATGAGTATACGTAGTTGGTGGTTGACATCCACGTCTGTCTGAGGGTGAACAGAAACTGTGAATGGGCATTCAGAGGACTTATGTGGTGGAACCCTCGTTCTCTCTGTGCAAATTACCTGGCACACAAAATACCAGAAGCAACATTACAAAAAAACTGAACTAAATAAACTCTTAAAACAAGATTCCAACACTGAGTTCCTCTTGAAGATGGACCCATCATAATTGACACTGTACTGCAGAGATACACATTTCTGACAAATTTGTGACTACAGGCCCAAATCATATGGAGTAAACCTGGCGCTTTTAGACCCTGGGTGTCCTCACTACAAAAGTGAATTACTAGGAACAGGTACAGTGGGTACGTAAAGTATTCAGACCCCCTTAAATTTGTCACTCTTTGTTATATTGCAGCCTTAAGATAAAATCATTTAAGTTCCTTTTTTTCCTCATTAATGTACACACAGCACCCCATATTGACAGAAAAACACAGAATTTTTGACATTTTTGCAGATTTATTAAAAAGAAAAACTAAAATACTTTCCATACCCACTGTATGTTTCCTTTAACATTTTTATAAGGATAATAATAATCACCTTTATTGGCCAAGTCTGTTACACACAAGGAATTTGTTTTTGGTACAGAACCGATGGCAGCCATCTGTGGTGCCAACTCAACCAATGGCTCTAACCATCAGGAGCAACGGGGGGAGGTTCAGTGTCTTGCCCAAGGACACTTTGACATGTGGACTGAAGGCACTGAGATTTGAAATGTCAACCTTCCGGTAGGAGGACAGTTGCTCTACCCGCCGCACCACTGTCGCCTCCCACTTATTGAGCAAAAGAAAAAATGAAAAAGATTCTGTTTGCTAACACAACTGAACTGTTTAAAAGATGGCCAGATTGTTGAGGTTATGAAATGATTTGATGTCTTGGATGATCTTTCCTCTCAAGGAAAGCTGTGTCTTCAAATTGTCCTGTGTCATTCAGTGCACATGGATTCAGCCCTCTGACATGTAGGTGACCTCTAATAAACATCAACAACACGTTATGAGGGTCATTTCTGAGCCCATCATCAATCTAATGTATGTCCAACTCTATGGTCATATCCCACATCTGTTGTATTCTTCTGGCTGCGGCTCTGTGTTCCACACTTACCTGTCCTGTGTCTTCAAGGTTTAATAAAGCATTTGTCTTGTGTTTGTCCTGTTCATGGCTGCTGCTGTAATATTGTTGCAAGTATTACAGGATGAAAGGATCCACCGGGACATATACAATATCTTCCCTTTAATAAACGGTGTTATGTGATAAGGGAGAGACAGAGATGGACAGAGAAGAGAGAGGACAAGGAGGAACCAGCGGCAGAGAGGAGGTTTTCACATGGACAAAGAGCCTGACCAGTAATGTGCAGCTGAACAGAGATTACAGAAACATAAAGTCTGTTTTATGTCCTGGTGAGACGGAGCAGGCCTCTCACTGCAAAACCCAAACTCCTCCAAGAAAAACTCCATGTTAAATCAGTCGAATAAAGAAAAACAACTGAATTTTATTTAAGTTTTTTATTTGATGGGCACATTGTCTGCAACTACGTATTATAATGCAGATAGAGAGTGGAGTAGAACTGGGAGTATTTTCCTCTGAGAGGTGAAATAATATGTGCAGTGCACACCGGTGGTTTCAGATTGAAATGAGCACGGTGGTTAGCGTTGTCGAGATTAGCAGTTTATAGGAGAATTAACAGACCAGCTTTTTATTTCAGTGACCTGTTAACATCCGCATAATATTTGTGATGATTAATTCACATTTCTTTGGCTGATTTTTCTCAAAAGTAGATTAGAACTTGTGCTACTTTTGAAAATTTGACGTCTTATGTCTGAAATGAAAATTTTTCATTTTTCAGTCAGATAAAACAGAGGAATCCAGAACACTGTCACGTTGTGAAGCTGGAACCTTCAAGGAATTCTCTAGATGAATGGGCCATGAATCTATCAAGTTAATCCACATCGTTGTTTAAAGACCAATCAGTTGAGCGGTAAAGTGAACCTTTCACCTCTGGTATTTAGCCTGTAATCGAGTGACCACAGAGGCCAGTTGTGGTGTGTAATGATCTGTGGAAATGTCAGCCTCCTCTGATTCAGTCGCCTCTCCTTCTATCTGAGCTGCAGAGACAAAGCACGGCCGGGTGACTAATGAGTCCCTTTCATCCAGATGTCTCCTCACCTGATTAGTTCCCTTGACTGTTTAAGGTGATCTGTCAAGTGAAAGATAGAAATTTGATAACAGGAAGCAAATGTGCTCGCTATGCTTCTGGAGCAGCAATCACCAGGTACCGGAGGGCATCCAGTAGCTTCACATCCAGGTGTGGCTGGAAGAACTGTGCTCTAGTCCACAGTCTGCACTGTGCATGTTTGTAATAACAGCTGTGTACAAAACTGACCCCATGTGCACACATGTGCTGATACAGCTACAGTATTCACAGACCAGAATGCTGAAGTGTTTTTACTTGGATACAGCTGTAAACACCAACCAAGCTAAGGCCAATACTAGACAAGCCAGTGTTGTATAAAAGCTGAGGAGTCTCCTCTTTTATTAGATGATCTTTGAAGGAATTTTGACATATACTGTATCTACCATTAAGTCTGATTTTGAGAGTTGTTTTTCTTCTTTTGACTGAGATTGACATGATTCTCTGGGAACTCACTGAGAACTGCTGCACACAGTAATCTGTTCCCTGGACAGAAGAACTGTGGGAGCTCACTGACTTTCACTCGCTCTAACAACCTCTGTAGAAGGTGAAGAGGAAACTGATGTGACTCATCAGCCTATAATGATGAAGTCAAATAAATTAATCTACTCTAAACATGGTGCCATTTGTTTAAAAAGTGTCTCCTGACTACAACCAAACTAGATTTGTGCAGCTGTGTCGTATCTGAGTTGTGCATCTCTGCAAAATCAAATAATTTTTGTGCTCCTTTTTCAAACTTAAAATATGTCTAGCTCAGTTCTGAATTGTTGTAATTTGGCAACCTGACATGACTCACTCAGGAGTGCTTCTGATGGCCCCAAATGACAGGGCTGCCAAAGTACTGAGTGGTGAAAATGAGCTGGAACATTATCAGTATTGACGAAAATATCACCAGAGATTTACAGCAAAAATATAGGATTTTGATTGAGAAACAAGGTTCTAAGAAAAATCATAAAATCTGTTCAGAGAACAGGATTATAAAAATATGTTTGAAAGGAACAGGAAAGGGAATGTGCCAAGCAATTTCCCAGTAAAAAAGAGAGTAATAAAATAAAATACATTTCCAGTTTAGTCTTCTCAGGAGATTCTGTTCATCTGGTTTTATCCATGTCTGTACAGTTTTATCACCTTTCTAACTCTGTGACTGGGAAAGATTTCGTTTTGCTTTGATAAGCACCAGTCGACGCCACAGCAACATCCTCGCTCTGTGATTTTTGCACTAGTCATGTCACTTATGCACTCAAAGTACAACTAAAATATTCAAAAGCAACAGAAAAAGATTATTTCAGTACAGGAGGCATGACTTTATCACTTGTATGGACACTGGTTCACCTTTATTTCCTGGAGCTTTGCCCCAACACTCACCACAGCTGCTGCACACCTAGATTCTTAACTTTACCTTAACATATGTGCATACAGAAGCCTGAACCTTAACCAAGAAACAAGTGTAAACCATAAATGTATCATCTGACCTTGTGAGGGCCTGAGTTTTGTCCCCAGGTGGGAGGTCAGACTATTTGAGGGTGCGTACTGGCACAGCTGAAAGCTGCAGAGACTGACCTGGCCAGGTGGATTGGTTGGCCTTCTCCTGTTTGAGGATCTGGTTGCATTCCTCCTGGGCTTTTATAAGCTGAACCACCAGGGCACAGTCTGGGTGGATGGCCTCGGTCTAAGGAGCAGAGAGAGATCATCACACACACTTCAGTTACACATAAAAACACACACGTTCCCGTCTCTGTGAATTACTTTTATATACAAGGAAATGTCATTGTGACTGCATTGTGTTTTTCATTAACTTAATGAGGAACTGAAGGGTTTTATGGTCAATGTTCAGACAGTCACAGCACTTGGTTAAGGTTAGACGAAGGTTTGCATCACTTTTTGACCCGGTTTTAACAAAAAACACCTGTTAAAAGTTAAATGATTCAAAACCTTATTATAGTACACCAACTGTATTATTGTTAATGTTGAAGTGAAAGCTGTTTGATCTGATATATGTTTGGTCTGGATCTGACCAGGACGACCACAGTGGCTGCACAGTGCTCACTGTGAAACATGGAGGTGTGAGTGTGCTGACATGGGGCTGTTTGTGTGCAGCAGGTATAGAGGAGATGACATGTAGAGATGGCTATATGAATGCCAGTTTGTATCCCTAAGAATGTCAGCCCTGTGACAGACTGGCGACCTGTCCAGTGTGGACCCCGCCTTTTGCTCAGTGTCTGCTGAGATTGGCCCCAGCCCCCATGACCCTGTTCAGGAATAAGGGCTATAGATAATGAATAGTGTTGAGTAAAATTATTAACAAAGTCATACTTTAAGGTTGATTCTAACATTTGATGAATTAAGAACTTAATTAGTAGAAGATTAACATTATGCTTGTTGATTAGTCAACCTGTGTGTTTACTTTGTTTGCGTATGGTAATTCTATCATAGTTAAGATTTAGTTTAGAGCACACATAAGTTTGCTTACTTATATGTTACAATTATGTTTACA